TTGATCCCAGGCTGCTGGCTGTGGACTACACGGATTCCAAGGATACAAAGAGGCTAAAAATCAAATGCATTGGATTGAGATTCAAGGTATCATGTGTAATACAGCAATTTGAGCTTTTAAATGTCACTGAACATTTTTCAAGCACAGCAATCCCAGCTCTGGGGAGGTCTCAGTAAAAGTGAGTAAGGCTGTCAGATGAGGTGGCGAACATCCGTGACCCCAGTCCTCTGGGAGGCTGAGGCAGGAGGATCACAAGATGGAGTCCAGCCTGGGCAATTTAGCAATTTAGCAAGACTCTGGCTCAAAATAAAAAATAAGCCGGGCACGGTGGTGCACACCTGTGATCCCAGCACTTGGGATGCTGAGGCAGGAGGATGCCTTGAGTTCAAGGCCAGCCTGAACTACGTACTGAGACCCTGTCTCCAAAAAAAAAAAAAAAAAAAAAAAGTTTTTAAAAAAGGGCTGGGCTGGGTGTGTAGCTCAGTGAAAGGACCTAGGTTCTATCGCCATTCTAAAAAAAAAGAAAAAGCATGACGTCTGAATTTAGAACCAGACACCTCTCAGGATTTGAATCCTGGTCACCACTCTCTGAGCAGTGTGGCCTAAGACCAGTAGCTGACTCCTCCGGGATTGCATTTTCACTTGTAGAAAATGAGACTAACAGATCAATCGCTTCTCAAGGTTGCAATGGGGGAGTGCACGCGTTAATATTTATCGTGAAGCACTTTAGAAGTGGAGAGGTCAAACAACTTTTGAAAATTCAACTTTTCAAAGGATTCGCCCAAGGCTACCAGCAGGGGGCACCAGAGAGCCACGCCTGTGCTTGGCCGCGGAGCCTTTGTTAACGGTTGAGCATTTATGGAGCGCCAGTTGTATCCCGAGCGCTGCGCTGAGGATTTGTGGATCTAAGGGGAACTCTCGTGGTTTCTGTCCTAGATTTGCAAAGCCACCCCGTCCAAACTTTACCGCTGGTCCCTGAAGCCCGCAGAGCGTCCACTGCCGCTCCCTCTCCTCTTCCCTCCAGGGGGCGCCTCCAAGCCTCGGAAACTGGGGTCACACTGAGGACGAAATTTTCCTCTCTGTAAAATGGGGATTAGGGGAGAATGCGCCACCCAGAATTATTGTGCAGGTCAAAATTAATGAAAGCGAACTAATATGAATTCGTGGGCATCTCTCCTATAGACTTGAGCGTCAATAAGCATGTATTAAGCCCCTACTGTGTGCTCTTGCATGCCTAGGGGGACAACTATTCCCTCATCACGCCCCCCAGGGCTACGCCCCTCCCCAACCTCCTCTCCCCACCCCACCCAGGCAGTTTCCGGTCTCTCCATTCAGCTCCGCCTACTCTCCACCCGCTCTTTCCAGAGCCGAATGGGAGCGAGGTGGAAGGGGGCTTATCTACATATTCATGATGTCATTAACCAATCCACAGCTGGAACTCAGGTTTGGTTCAGAGCCTAGGTGACTGTGACGTCACAGCGACGCCTCCTGTGATCCTTAAAGACGCAGTCACCTCTCCCAGAGAAGGAAGGCTGCAAGCCCATCTCTTGTTTCGCTTTGGGGTTTAAAGTGTGCTCGGGTCCAGGACCCAGGGGCTCGGGTGTGAGACGGCAGTGCGCGGAGGGCGCACTGGGGACCGATCAAACCGCAGGCCCCCGCCCAGCCTGTGGTGACGCGGGCTTTTTGTTCCCTCCTCTCCCTCCAGGTGGTCTAGCCCCGTCACAGCCCACCTGCACCTGTCCCCTCGCCTCTGCCCTGTCCCGGGACTCTCTCCGTCACAACAAAATCTGCGGAGACACCATTGGATCTGTGTACGGGCAATTTAAACCCGGTGAGATGGGAGAGGCGAGTCGCGCGCTCCGTAGGGTGCTTTACAGGGGCAAGTGTCATGTGAGTAGTAGGACTTCAGAGGGTGTCGGTGCTGGCCCAGGGTCAGCAGAGGACGTTGCTGCTGGTGACAGGGAGACCGTGGGCCCAGGTCCAGCCTGGTGGCCCAAAGAAGCCAACTGTGAAGGCTCACACCTGTCATCTCACTCAGGAAGCTGAGGCAGGAAGATCGCGAGTTGGAGCCCAGCCTGGGTAATTTAGTGGGACCCTGCCTCAAAACACGAAAAGGGCTGGAGTTGTAGCTCAGTGTGGCAGCGGCCCGCGGTTCGATCTCAACAAATGCAAAAAAAAAGAGTTTTTAAAAATGTATTGTATTTTATTTAGTCAGTGTTTGCAGTACGTCATGACGCCCTTCGTCCTGGGCGGTTGGTACACGGACATAACACATCTGAGCTCTTTTACTCCCCTTTGCAAAAGATCTATCTCCCTCGTTCCTATATCTACCTTTTATTTTGCTCTTCATTTACACTCTAGGTTTCCTATATAAGAGAAACGATGTGACATTGAAGCTTGTGTGTCTGGTTATTTCACTTAACATTATGGTTTCAAGGTGAATCCATTTTCTTTCTCTTTCTTTTCTTTCTTTTTTCTTTTTTTTTTTTTTTTTTTTTTT